AATTACATTAACTATTATATTGTATTGCTGTGATTTAAAACAATTACATTAACTATTATATTGTATTGCTGTGATGTAAAACAATTACAATAACTATTATATTGTATTTCTGTGATGTAAAACAATTACAATAACTATTGTATTGTATTGCTGGGATAAAAAACAATTACAATAAGTACATTGATGTATTGTATTACTATTTTAATGTCTAATAGCTTTTGTATTTTATAGTGTTTACACTCTTTTTTTACGCATTTATTATTATTTGGGCACCAGATAATTTAGGGGCGCCCATGACGCTCGTTTTTGGCAATCATGTATATATATAAATTTTATTTATTTTGAGAAATGAAGTGAAGCCAAGGAAGCCAAAGAAGTATATATACTAAGTATACTTAATAAATATTAGGGTCAGGGGCGCACGTGGCACCCATTTCTAGCAACCATTTACATATATAAATTTTATTTATTTTGAGTTTAAATAATAATTTATTTAGAATTAACATTAATAATATTCATTCAGAATCATACAAATATATAATTTATCATATACTTGTAATTAAATAATTATTTACTTTAAGAAATAAAATTTTATACTTTTTTATAATTTTGTCTAAACTGATATTAACATGTTTCACCGAGTGATGACGTCTAAACTAATTGATTAACTATATTAAGCGCTTTTTTTTAAATATATCTAACCGCTAATGTGTAATAAATTACATTGTTATGGATCTCAGAGACTGGATTGTTAAAACATTTATTAAATTTTGACTCTAAAATAATTTTTTTTATTACAATAACAATTTATTGTTATTGCATTATAAAGACGAATTACAATACAATATTTATTGTTATTGTAGTGGATCATTACAATACATTTTTTTCAGATATTGATATTGTTTTATAAAGATGAATTGCAATTCAATATTTATTGTTATTGTATTACATTATTACAATAGTTGTAAATCGCAAGTATTGCTATTGTTTCTAAATTAAGTTAATACAATAACAATAGTTATTGTTACTGTTATTGTTTTCATTACAATTACAAACCTAACCCTAGTTATAACTATGTAAAGTTTATGATCTCATTTTGAGGATTTTGGCAACTTTACATGGTCATAACTTTCCAACACTTGAATATTATTTGAAGTCTATTAATTAATATTAATTTAGTTTTGATATAAGTTTAAACTTAAGTTTGAAGGTTATACTATGTGTTAGAATTGTCGTTTTCAAACATCAAAGAAAGTTACAGCGATATCTGGATACAATCTATAACGGTAATTCATGAAACTATGCACCATTTAATAAATCAATCACGATACTTACGAATGAAACCCTTCTGTCAGAAAACAAATTAAAAGAGGAACCCAAATAAAAAAAAAAAGAAATTTTTAAACAAAATAAAAAAAATAAATACGCTTTATCAAATTTATCAGTCGGTATTGAAGAACCTTTTTTAAAAAAATTCGTCTTATAAGTTCTACATTATATGTAGAACTTATAACACGAATTTTTTTTTTGTGAGAAAATATTTTTTTAAACAATTTTATTGTAAAAATAATTATTTTTTGAACACTTTCGAACCGGAGAAAATCAAAAACTAACCCGTTGCGCTGATGCTTCTTGCTAGATTTATTGTACTTCTTGTTATTTAGGTTTAAATAGATTTTTTTTATAACGTAGCAACATGTCAATCACTGGTTGAATTTTTTTTTTATTAATTAATTTTCAATTGGGTTGGCAAGGCAATACTAAATTTAAACTTGCATATTCAAAGAAAAACTGAATAAACATGTAGTCTAAAATCAAACGAAAGAGTTAAATAAATTTAAATCTAAATAAAAAGAAAAGAAAACGAAAAAAAACTTTTATTTAAAATCGAAACCATAAAAAAGAAGTAAAGATTACATTTTTAAAATGGCTAAAGATATTCATCTTGGCGATGACATCCAAATCACATTGTGTATTTTGTATATTATCGGATCGATTGTATCTTTGTGGATAATAGTACTCTCACCGTTTCTTTTGGACTACATGGGAGCTAAAATGCACAAGCGCCCAAAAGATAGGAGAGATTGGCCAAAGATATTTATAATCTGTACTTTGTTTCAACCAATAACATTTATAAGTTGCGCAATTGGTTTGTTTTGGGTTGGAGCACTCGCAATCGTACCTCCAATTCATTTTATGATATCTGTATGCTCACTTCTTGCAATTGATTTTTTTGCAGACCCAGACCCTTGGGATAAAGAATACTCAAAACTTGTTGGTAAATGGTAGCTGTAAGCACGCAGCATAGTTTTAAATAATAATAGAGTAATAGAAACTTTTTAGTGTTTTAAAATCAGTGTATTTGCTTTCAAAGATTTTTATGCGCGAAATTTTAATTTTTTTCCTAGAGTAAAAATAAAATTTTCGCGCATAAAAAAGTTAACTATTTAACAAAATAACAATCTTTAAATTTTTGTTGTTTTTATAACAAGTTTTTTTTTTTCAAGTCATTATTTTTGTGAAATATTTTTTTATAACAATCGTTGAAACTGATTCTGAAAAGCATTTCATTTTGTTTTATATAAAGTTACTCTGTGGTAAAAAGCTGTTATCGCTCTTTTAAAGATAATCTCAATTTAGTTGTTATAAAAAATTTAATACATGTATATAGAGTTGTATTGTGTCATCGCATGGTTCTAGTCATAAACAAAATTTTACTCACGTAGACAAAAACTCTACGCTACGTTGACAAAAACTCTACGTTTTCTGCAGTTTGTTACACTCTAATTTAGAACGCATCATAGACACGTTCTAAACTGATTCTAGATTAGATACTAAATGACGTATTTTTAGGACGTTCTATAGACGTTTATTAAGAGACTTAAAAAACTTAAATAAAATTAATAACTTTCCGATAAAGTACAATTATGCAAAACTGGTTTAAAAAAGAGGTCTTAACGTTCTAGAAAAGAAGTTTAACGTTCTAGAAAAGAGGTTTAAACGTTCAAAAGACGTTCTGAACGTTTTTGAAACATTTAAAAGGCATTTGTTACGCAATGAGCGTGTTTTAGTAATAAGTTTTGAAGGGTTTGTAGTTTGTAGGGTTTTAGTAACAAAAACTTAACGTTCAGAAAACATAACAGAAACGGCGACCTATGTGCTTATTAATTAAAACACAAAATTAAAAGTAACATAAGTTTAAAACATATTTCAAATTACAGATCTAAAAAATATCATAAAAACTGTCATTACGGTTTAGTTTTTCACGGTTACCAACCGTGAAAAAAAAGCTTTAATTAATTTCAGGAATATCTTTACATACTTTTAACAATAATTATAATCTTTTTATAAATCTTTGTCAGTTTTAAATTTACTCTCTGCATAATTAAATCTGCATTTTAAATTTACTCTCTGCAAAATTAAAGTTTTTCTTCAGCAAATTTACTCTCTGCATAAAGATTATTGGTTTCAAGTTTTTCAAATTTTACAAATCTTTAGCTAAAAAGAAAACTCTTGTCGTATCTAAACAAGAACTTCAAAAAACGTTTAAACGTCTGGACGTCCGACAGACGTCCCCCGGACGACGCGTGCCCACTAGGTTAAAGTATAAACTTGCTAAACACATTTTTGACCATTAATACGTTTTATCTATCATTAAAAAGACAAAAACGCGTGAGTTATTCAAATTGTGACTAAATCTTATATATTTCTTCCGAAATTCGGCGAGGTTTAAGTGGAATCAATACTTTTTTCAGAACTCAAAATAAATTAACCATAAAAAAACAAACAAAAAAAACCATCCAACTTAAGAAAGTTGTTAGAGATTCTTACAAGAAAGTAGCTAAATACAGAATTAAAACGACTGCTGCAGAGATGAGATGCAAAAATGGCGTAAATTAACATTTTTATAGTTTGGTTATATACCATGCACTCGTATTTCTGTTAATGGGGCATAACACAAACGCAAAATATATGGTCTCGCACACCAAAGTCTATATTTTTAGAGAGAAATAATTGAAATGGAATTAAGTAACTATTCAGCTGTCATGCAGTTTCAATAATTGAAGAAATGGCATCCTTGGCTATTTAGAATATTTTTGGTTGACAAAAATAGTTTTGCACCAAATTGCCGAGAAGTTGGATAACTGAGGTTTAAAACGCATGGCGAAGAAAAACCATCAGATCAAATCAAATTTATTAAAATATTTAATTGAGATTTAAAACTTTTCTTGTATTTTTCTCAACTTCATATTTTATTTCTGGAAAACTTAAAACCGGATAGCTTGACATTGGATAGAACTTTCATATTTTTAGGATATGTTCAGAATCCATACGCATTCCATTTAATCGATTTTTAATGAAATTTACTGAACCAAAAATTTATTTACTGATTTATAAACCAAAATGTTTAACAGCTTGCCACAAAACTTTTCAAAATAAAAAATATCATCCACAAAAAAAAATCAACAACCTAATAAATATTCTTATTTAAGTAAAATCTTTCAGAGTGTATTATAGATTGGCCAAAAGTTTATTTAAAAACAAGTAAAGAGAAATTGACTTAGAGTGTCATAGAATTTTATCAATTTTGCTGATTTTGTAACACCTTTTCCCCCATTACGGATCAACTAAATGTTGCAATTTTGTATTATTTATATGTTCATCACTTAAATCAAATCTGTATGTACGCAAAATGCCTAAAATTGAAACTGTTTTTTTTTTTTAGAAATTAACCGCCTGTATCTTTCTGTTGATATTTCCAATAAAAATGCTTCAGCAAACTTTAAATAATAAATAACTGAAACTTAAAAAAAAAAAAAGGAAAATGTGAATAAATCTTTACGGAATTTGTGTTTTACAAATATTTTTGCTTAAAATTGAAACTGTTTTTTTTTTAGTAATTTGGAAGAAATTAACCGCCTGTATCTTTCTGTTGATATTTCCAATAAAAATGCTTCAGCAAACAGCAAGCTTTAAATAATAAATAACTGAAAAAAAACTAACTTAAAATATATATATATATGAATAAATCTTTACGGAATTTGTGTTTTACAAAGATTTTTACAAAACAACAATAAGATGCTACAAAATAAAATATTTTTGATTAGTTATAAAATCTAGTTGAGTTTAGCACGAATAATAGAATTGAACATTATTTTACGATAAAAAGATCTTCAGAAACCAACTTTTCTTGTTTGCAACATTCATCAATCCAACCAGTTTCAACTACCTTTACACTGTCAGGGATGTAATCAAGCGATCGTTTTCCACAAGAGGTGGTCACAACATGCGTTGTGTCAGGCGTTAAACTTGTATCTACTTCGCCATCATAAGCAATGACGAATCTCGATAGTCGACGTATTTCCGTTAAATCATTCAACCCGTGAAAGTATACAGCTAAACCCGAAAAAATATCCGGCAAAGAATCTGAAAAATGAATAAATCTGATATAGTATAATATATTATGATAATGCTATAGAATAAAACATATTTACATATTTTTTTACCTTTTACATGAAACTTTGACTCGTTACTTTCAGTTGCTAAATGCGGAGTCAGTTGATCCGTTGACGAAGAATTTATTTGAGTAAACTTTTTATAATAGTAACTCGTACAGTTAAAAAAAATATACCGTGCATGTTGAAAAATAAACCGTGCAAGTTTTACTAAAAGGTAATAACAGAAATGTTTTTATAACATGCGTTGTTGCGTTTTTGTATACAGAGTGTATACAAAATATATTACTTTTACTTCAATGTTTTTGTTGTGCTCGAGCCGCAACTTGACTAAAGCTGCTTTTTTTGACTCTTATTTACCTCTTTCTTATATATTTGTCTAAGTCAGCCAGTTACAACGGTAGAAATCAGATAACAAAACAAGGTCATGAACACGTGTGATACTACTTATCTAAATTGCTGTTCGTAAGCACGCTTCGCCGAGTTTCTGTTATTTATATTGAAAAAGTGATATATTTTTTTCTTGCATGTTTTATAGCGTTAAAGAACTTAAATGAATAAAATTAATCGAAGTTTTTTTCGAACTCTAAAGCAAAATTTTTTTAAGTTACTTTTTAGATAAATTTCAAATTTAAACTTAGTGAATTAAGTAAAATACCTTTTGTTATTATTAATTGATTGAATCTTTTAATTTTTTTTGTTTACAGGTTTTAAAAAAAAATTTACCCTAAATTACTCAAAAATATTTTGTCCAATTAGTTATTAATTGTTTAAAAATGTATCCAATAATTTTTCTTAAATCTAACGACTACTCTTAAAATAAATAATTTAAAATCCTTCAACTAAAGAAGGTCATTCTGAAAAAAAAAGCCTTCTGGTCATTTTTAAAGCTACAGCCAGAGTGAGGCTCGGTTACAAATGCTTACAAAAATATTTGAGTATAAAATATATTTATAAAGATAAACCTTTTATGTTTTTTATATTAACTGTTATATTAACCAGTTAGTGTAGATTAAATTAACGAGAATGAGACAACGACTGTTGCGATAACAATCGTTATATCGACTATTCTGTCATTTAATCGATACATCGCTGATTTAATAATATAAATTTGTACAAAATGAAAACAAGTTACAGATAAGAAATTTCTTATTAGCAAAAATAAGTTTTAATTATTTTTGAAAGCGAAAAATAATGAAAATATACAAATAAAATAGAAAAGATACATATATGTAGGTACTTTTTGATCAGCTAATATTTTCTTAATCAACCTTTCGGTTCCATACCAATTAAAATTAGGAGAATTATAACCGATGCGAGGGAGATGTACGCTAGCTACAATGATAATAGAAGGACAACATTAAAAATAATTAGTGCAAGTTAAAATGTCTAAATTGTTTTAATTCAAAAAATATTTAAAAATAAATTATAAAAATATTTAGTGCAAAAGTTACCACTGTTAAAAAAAGTTTATGCACAGTTAACTTGGTTCAAAACAACAGTTAACTTGGTTCAACTCTAGCACTTTGGGTTTAATCGATTTTAAGCGTCAGAGCGTTATTAGAGTTGTAACATTTTCGATATTTACGTTATTTTCGATACTTACGCGACTTTTTGTTTTCAAAACTAAAATGGGAAATGTTTTGGGACGTATCCGTAGAAATCAAATTTTATCAAATTGATTAATAAAGTTTTCTAAAGAGAATTACATTGACAAGAATACAATCAACAAATGGACCGTCACAAGTAAACGTTAAATAAGTAAAATTTCCGTAATTTATTCACAGCAAAGAGATTGGTAACAAGAGCGTCGCTTGTATTCGTATTTTAAACTCAATTTAAATAAATGAACGTCAAAACGAACAGTAAATGAACGCTGCATAGATTTTTTTTCAAACATTCATCAGAAGTGAAGTAGTATTAAAAATACAAAAATCAATAACAAAAACTGGATTTATGACTAAAATAACGATATTTAAAAGTTAAAAAGTGTGCACGTGGTGTCAAAGTCAAGATTTAAAAAAGGATGAAATGAACAGCTTAAACGAATCTTGAAACTAATTTATAATGTTGAAAAAGCAAAGCAAAACAGGGCAAAAAGATAACCAACCTTTATATAACCATAACTCAGAAATTGTTCACGTCGAAGAAAAGAAATATCCAAGTTTTAGTATTTTATCCGCAGCCGCTGTTGCGGTAATTTTTATAACTTTAGGCGCAACAATACATTACACCACGGTGAGCTTAACAAATTTTAACTTAGAATATAGTGAACTACAACTACCAGAAGCGGAAACAGGTATACGTAATGTTTTTTTTTTTTATTGTTGCACATTGTTTTATGAATTTTAAAAAAAATTGAGTACACTAAACTTTATCTCTTGTACCATTTTTTAAAACTTAGAAAAAAATGTACATGATTTTAAATTTTGATTCTCCATCTGGTTTTAAACCTCGAGTCTTCTGATTCTCTTGTTATATTTAAATATTTTATTATTTAAGTAACTATTTGTTTTATTCTTTACTATTTTGTTTTGTTTTTTTAATGATGATATAATTGCATTTTTATTTATGGTAAAGTAGGGTAAATCTATTAAGTTATTTTGTTATTTGCATACAATCTTTTTTTTATAATGTAAATAAATCATGTAACCAAAACACCAATATGCCCTGTTGATATATTTGTATCATAATATAGTAGTTAAAAATGTTTTAAACTGCAAATGTTACATACGAAATAAACTTGTGTTACGAAATATCCAAAAATGGCGAAATTAGTATGGAAACCTGGTATGATAATTTTAACATGATAAAATTCAGTTTACTTAAGCAAATAAGTCCAAAAGTTGGATTAATAAATTCAAAATATTGATAGTCTCTGCTTTATTTAAAACAATGTTACAATGAGTTTATTACATCTTATTGGAATCAAGAGCGTTAAGAGCGACTCGTTCAAAATTCTTTCAAAATGTTTTAATTTTATAAAAGGAGAATCTTTCAGCAAAGAAACCTAAAAAAAAAGTGCGACTTTTATTATTATTAAAAATGTAAATCAACTTTTGGCTTATAGATTTTTTATTAATAATTAAATAAGTGTTCATATGTTTTATAAATTTATGAGCTGTTCATAAAATTTTTACCAAATTCAATTCAGCAAAGTAGGCCAGTGATGCATTTCGGTGTGTAGATTTTAAGTTTATTTTTATACGATTACCATTATCACACATTTTCATCTCTGATGGGACTTTTTCATTTTTTCTTGGCTGTCTGTTCTTATATTTTAAAGTTAAAGATTCCACTGAGATTTAATTGTGTTCCAGCATTTGTTCGGCATGATTTGCCTTCCTTTTTTTACATACTTATTGTTTTTCTGTACTTTATGTCTACCAAGCGCCTAATTTATTTAAGCCTAAATTATTTGTAAATTTGCTTATCTTTTTCACATGCTAAATATTCGCTATATCAAATAATACATTACTAAATTGCTGACTTTCTAAACTTAAACAACAGAGAGTAGCATACTACATTTTTAATGCTAACAATTTTATAAAAGTTTTGTTTTTAAATTAGAAATGGCAACACGCTGTAATTGCTATAAAGTCAAGGTAACCTGCCATAGTTCTTAAAATGTGTTTTAACCTTCCTTATTTTTTGTTGCTTAAACTTTGAATATATTAGTTGTTATTTATGGGTTTGAATAAAATAAAATTAATCACAATTTACTTTTTAACAACTTTTTATTTACTATATAAAAAAACTATTTTCATTTATTTTCATTTATTTATATATTTTCATCTATTTAACTTCATATAAAATTATGAATTTATTTATGAAATGAACTTTATAACTGTGCACTATCGGATTCACTTTTAAAAATCCTATATCTATATCTATATCTATATCTATATTTATCTATCTATCTATCTATCTATATATGTATGTATGTATATATATATATATATATATATATATATATATATATATATATATATATATATATATATATATATATATATATATATATATATATGTATATATATATATATATATATATATATAAATATATATATATATATATATATATATATATATATATATATATATATATATATATATATATATATATATATATATATATATATTAGTAACATCAAAATAGCATAAAGAAAGTATATAGAGGAATGAATTTAAAACATTTAGTTAAGTTGCTTTAGCAATATTAATAATAACAGTCTCATATAAAAAAACAATAATAACAGTCTCATTTAAAAAAACTCAATATATATCTTGCAACATTACATTAAAATAAATGTCTAACTTTTCTACAAAAATACAGATTTTAAACCTTTCAAATATAAACAAAAAACTATTCTGTATTTATTATAAATGTTATTCTTATGTAAATAAAGATTTTTTGATCCACATAAAACTAGGAATACTTTTCAAAATACGAAATAATAAACACTTTAGGATTTCAATGAATTCTTTGCATTATTGAGCAGAGCTAATGCTTAATGCAAACAGCAAACAAATCAAGCAGAAAAATATACTATAATAATATATATATATAATAAATTTATTAAAATGGATACAAATGATGAAAAGTTTAAGGTTTTTTTAAACAATTTTGTAATACTGTGAATTTTTAAAAGAAAAAGTGTTCAGACAGTTAAAAACTAGTTTAACACTTTATTTTTAGGGACATTTTGCTAAAAGAAAATAGCGAAATGTTTCCTGAAATTCATCTTATTGATATCTATTTCCTTTTTTCAACATATTTTAGCATAAATAACATGAATATTTTTGCATATTTTAGCTGAAAGAAACAAAGAAAACAAAAACCTTACACAAATTGAAAAAAACAAAACAGAAACAACAAGACTTCAGACGAATGAGAGATCTAAAACTCGAGCAAGAGAGCGCAGAGAAATAGTCTTAAAAAAGCATCAAAATTACATTTCATTGGATAAAATTGTTAAAAAATTAAAAAATTTGACAAAAATTAGAAACCGTAGACACCTTCCAAAACATCTTTTACATCGATATTTATCGCTCATTCAACAAATAGAAGAACAAAACCGACATCACATCAATCTCACTCTAGTAAGTCCTACTTTCAGAAAATTTTGTTCAAGTTATATATACACCTATTGAAATTTATATTATATGTTATAATATTATATTCGAGCATATATAAAATACGTATAAATACATAGAAAATTTTATTATTTTATGAAAAATTTACCATTGTAAATAAAATAAAAATATTTTCCATCCATGCTTCAGTAACATAATTAGTATACTTTAAAAATTGCATAAATTTTTAATGATATTTAGAATTATTTCATAGGCTGCTAAAAACTTTGTTGAATCAGTAGTAAAACATATCGATTCATATAAAAAGAACTCAACGAAACGAAATATAGAAGAAGATATCGAAGAAACAACTGATGAAGTATACCCAAAGGTTCTAAATGACGAAACTGAAAAAATTCTTGGTAAGACTATTTTTTTAATTACATTTTATTTATACACTTCAATGTGATAAATTATTATACATTATTTTTATTGCTAATATTATTATTGTTATTACCATTATTATTACTATTATTGTTATTCTTATTATTATTATTATTATTATTATTATTATTATTATTATTATTACTACTATTATTATTATTATTATTATTATTATTATTATTATTATTATTATTATATATACACATGTTAAAAATAGCACAGAAATAAAACATGACTAAAAATAAATAAAAAATGATTTTTTAGAAAAAATAAAAAACAAAAAATAAGAGTGCTCTTTATAGAAAAAAAAGGAAAAAGGAAAAAAATAAAAACTATTTCAAAAAATCAAAAGAATTAGGATTTTTTTTTTAATTTAAGAACAAATTGTATCATATTTTTTTAAAAACAACAACATGTAATCTGTTCTGTTAATACATTTTTTTGTGTGAGCTTTCACTATAAGTGTTTTTTTAATTTTAAATCTCACTTTGAACTTTTCACAATTCATTGGTTAACACACACTAATAAGCAATATATATATATATATATATATATATATATATATATATATATATATATATATATATATATATATATATATATATATATATATATATATATATATATATATATATACATATATAAAATTAAAATGATTAAATAAAGGTTTTTCAATTAAAAAAATAAATAAATAAAGGATTTTGTTGTTATTATTATTCACATTAAACATAAGAAAAATTATTTTAATTACTTAAAATATTTTGTCTAGAAAATTTCTTTAATATATTAAACTATGCAATATCATAATAATATTTTCATCATTCTTAACACAAAGCTAACTTTTTTCTAGATCACACATCAACTCCATCATACTCATACAACATGAACAATGAAATTAAAGCAGACATAACAGCTTTGACTAAAGTTGAAAATAAAGTTGAGGTTGAAACTGGAATAACAAATTTTACCATGGTGACAGAGCCTAACAATGATGATAATAGTAGTGAAAAACAATCAAGGAATGAGACCAGTAACCAGAATAAAAACAATAGCAAACCAGATTTTGAACAACACAAAAATGTTAGCTTTGAAAATATAAAAACAAATAACACTCACTATGTATATGTAAATCAAATAAAATCAAATCAAACAAACAAGCAACATTATTCAAAAGATAGAGTAAACACAAATACTTCATTCATTTATCATTTTCATAACTCCTTTCTAGACAATACTCAAAGCAATAAAAAAACAATATATTCATTAACAAATATTCAAACAAGCTTTTATGAAATAAGTGTTGCAAGATCAACTTCATTAAACAATGCCACCAAAAGTTTTCAAAGTGAAGTAAAAAGTAGAGAGTTTCTGATAAACAACCAATTACTTCCAAATACAAAAAACAAATCACAGATAACAGATGTTTATGAGACAAAATATAGCCTGCAGACAAGCAAAATTATTCTTCAAGCTAGTGAAATTTATCTTAAAAATAGTGAATTCAGTCAACATTCTAGTGAAAGTTTGCCAGCTAGCAAAATCAGTTTGCAGGATAGTGAAATGAACCTTCAAGCAAATGAAATGTATTTAAAAACAAGCGAAATCTATCCACAAGCTAGCAAAACTAGTATGCATGTTAGTAAAATCCATTTCCAAGTTAGTGAAACTAATTTGCAAGCTAGCGAAATCACTTCACAAATTAGTTTAATCAACTTCCAAGCTAGTAAAATATCAACTCTGCAAGTTAGTGAAAGTGTGCAAGTTAACCAGAATCATAACTTTCCAGCAAAATCATTGTTACCAGAAATCAACTTATCAAACAAATCTAAATATGAAGCACATTCAATAATTACAAATATGAACGCTTTAAAAAATGTTCATTTTAAAAATCAAGCTAAAAAAGTAGACCTTAAACCTTCGTACTCTAGTCATTTTTCTAGGCATTCCTTTGAAAATAGTTTTAAACAAGAAGCTATGCAAGAAATAAATGTGCATTCAAATAACCCACTTGTAATGAAGAGTTCAATATTAGGAGAAATATTACCCACAAAATCATTTACAACAAAAACTCAATTAGATCCCAATCCCACAATGGAGGACAGCATTTATGGAACCAATACGATGACAACATCAATAAACATCACCTCTTCATTTACAAAACATCTTGATGATGATGACCAAGATCTAAAGGATTTTTTTGCACACGTGCAAATAGAAAACTCATCAATAATTAGAACAAATTTAAGCTGGCCATTAAGTGTTAATACAAATCCAACTACAATGTTTACTTTACCATCTCATAGAATAATACAACCTTCAAGTCATGCAGTTACTCTAATAAATTTGAGTACAACAAACAGATCAAAGTTATTTGTAAGTACTACAGTTTCAAGTTTCCATCAAGCAAAAAATACTGGTGCTTCAACTGTTTTTATTCAGCAAAATAATATAAACACTAAGTTCAGTAAAAGCAACAAAAATATTCTTATTGGTGATTTATTTGATTCTAGTGAAAAAATCTCAGAAAACCTGCAGCAAAACAAAAAAGAAATTAAAATTAGTGATTCTGTTAACAATAAAAACTCTGACTTCAGTATAAATTTTGTCACTAGTAGCATTGCAGTTACCAGTAGTGATACCAGTATTAATTTTGTTATCAGTAGCAATTCTGTCACAACACAACCTGCTTACTACAATGAGTATAATAGTCAAAGCAACCCCACAACAAATGCACAAGCACCTACGATAGTCAAAACCAATTCAGATGATCTTCACCACACAATTAAAAATGAACAAAGAACTCAAAATCTGATAACATTCTCAAAGAAATTACAACACAGTTTTTCAAGAAATAACACAAACAACGATGCAGCTTATTCCACTAAATCATACAATATTCCAAAAAATCATATGGTAATGAATGACACTATAATATTCAATAACCAAGTAGGAGAAAAAAATACATTTGCAACATTGCAACCAACATTACAAACAATGCAACAACAACAACTAACAACATGGCAGCACATAACCAATCCAATCACAGATTTACTTATCAGTAATGAAGCAAAATCGAGAGATCAAATTACTCAAATTCTCAGTGACAGTGAGACGCAAGATAAAAAAACTAATGTTGGACCAGGCGTAATAAAGTTTTTGCAACAAACCCTACTTCACATAGATGAGAATGCAAAACTTGCAGTCAAAGCAACAGTAAGTAAAAAAAGAAATATTTATTTTTTATAATTATTTTTTTTTTGGAAAACAAAAATTATATTTCAGTCCTTGATGAATATTATAAATTATAACTTTAATTTGAAAAACATAAATAAAAACTAATGATAGATAGTAACAAATTAATTTTGGTAAGTATAACAAAAAATTAATGTATTGATATTTTAACTCTTTTATTAACAAACTCTATAATTATTTATCAAATTTATATTATAGAATTCGTCAGTAAATACATCACCATATACTCTTGATTGGATATGTCGAAATGATGTGACTGATTGGAGCACAGCATACATAATTGGAATGAGTCGTTTCTTGCAAAATCATATAATTAATTGCAAACAGAATGAATTTTTACAGAAATTTAGGTTAAGCGATAATAAAGATAACTTTTTCCCATTATTCAGATATGAATATGTGTGTTGTAGTTTGGCTTTAGTAAAAACATAGTTTTTATTCTATTAATGTTGTATGATCTGAGAATCACTGATTTAGTTGTAATTTTAATAAAAATAACAATTAAAAAAACAAAAACAAACAAAACCACTCATAATTAGATAGAAAACTAATTTACTATTTCAGCATGTAACTTTTTCTGTTTTTTTTTTTAAATTAGTAATAGACTCCATACTTAACAATTTAAATTTTTTCATATAAAAATCTGTTTAAAGTATAATGATGTAAAATTAAAAACAGTGTAAAAATGAAACCGCTTAAAGCAGCTGTCAGATGTTTTGCAACACCTACATGAACCACTGAACATTTTAACTAACTCTGATAATATTTCTCATAATTATAAATTCTCATATTAAAAGCAGAAAAAGCCACTTGTTAATCATTTTCATCTTGTCTATTTTTTTCTTTTCTAAAAGCATTTTTTTATTATGAACTTAAATTTTACATTCTTACTATGAACTTAAATTTTACATAGGTAATGTTGCTAAGATACATTCAATGCAAATTTTGATTATCAATATTGATCATTACTGATTGTTATTTTTCTTAAAATTATTATATATATTTATTTATACAGAATTGTAAATATTTTTAAATTATTAGAATAAATAACCATAACTTTGTGTCATAGAAACAAAATCTATGTATAGATTATAAATTGTTATCAAAGCAGATTAGTAAATAAAGTACATGAAAATTTAAAAATACACAACAAACATTCTATAGTGGAACTTCAGTGGACCTATTTAGGCATTTTGAGTGGGCTGCTGTAGTTTTTCTCATTGGTTTCTTAGTGGACTATTAGTCAGTTACCAAATGTGGCTAGCCAATGACTAGCCACTAATAACATGTAGGAAAGTTATTGGCTCTCCATTTATAGCGGCTGCCATTAATAGTCCACTAAGTAACCAATGAACAAAACTCAAATGAACTGTTAAAAAAATGCCTATTTAGGTCCACTGCAAGTCCACTAAAACAGTGATTGCTGGCTAGTATCAATCAATGCTATTTTTTTCATTAGTTAGCTAATTAAAAAAATAGAATAAAAGAGAAACATTTAGTGCTCAATAATTTATTAAAAGTAAAAATTATTGACAAGCTCGCAAAGCCAAGAAAATATTTATTTAAAAAACCCCCAGTTTTTCAAACAAAAAAAAAAACAAAAAAAAAATTGGGAAAAGATAAACAAATTGTAAACAATGTTTTTCAAAAATTATTTTTTTCCAAATTTGTTTAATTGTTTTTTGAACTGTTGTATACATTTTGCATGATAAAATTTTCATCTGATATCGGTAATAAAGATAAAAAAGGATAGAATTTTCAAATTTGTGTCTTCCCAAATATTGTTTAAATGTTCTGTGAATTATTGTATACTTGTTGAAAAAGATTTTCATCTGATGTCGGTAATAAAGAAAAAAAAAAGATATTTTGAACTGGCAATTGGGATACAATCCATTATTTTTTAAAAACAGTTTATAAAAACAAAGTTCTTTTAAGGGTAAAAATGCATTTTGAATATAATACCAACAATAATATATAATAATATATACCAACATTAGCATTAAATTAGTGTTATACAGTTTTAATATGTGTAATATTTAAATTTAAATTAAATTTCTTTATATTGTGCAATAAGCATAATTTCATTTATTATTTGATTCTATCATTTCATTCATAATTTCATTTATTATGTGTTTATTTATATTATTCATTTACCATTATTATTGTTGCTATCTTTTACAGCATACGCATTCTATTTTAAAAAATTTAGAAAAGTAATTACCATAAATTTGTGTTTTATATTATGTTCAAAAATGTTTTTTGTAAAAATTATTTTTTAAATGTTAAAATTAAAACTTTAAAAGTTAAAATTAAAACAAATTTTCCAAAATGTATAATATTTAAACATATTTTATCAAAACTTTTTATTAAAATTTATATCGCCCATGATTTCATTTGGTTACAAAAACAAATTTTTTCCAAATTTTATTTTAAAAGTAAATTGGTAATGGGTTCTGCTGCGAGAGGTGTTAACAAATATCTAATTTTTTAAAGTACTCTTAGTCTGCCACAAGCTTTTTTTATAAGCGTTGTTAAAATAGCTACTTATGTTTAGTGTCAGGTTTAGGTCGATACCAAGGTATTTATAACTCAAGGTGAAACATATTGAGTTGAAGTTGTAAGAAAAGTTCAAAAAACAGTATTTCAAACAAAAAACAACAACAAAAACATAAAAAAAATTGGTAAAAGATAAACAAATTGTAAACAATATTTTTCAAAAATTATTTCTTCCCAAAAAGAAACATTCATTGTGTTTGGTAGCCTTGAAAGAGAAAAAACTTTTCTTGTACCAACAGTATGGATTTTGTTTTACCAACTCCAAGTTTGATTATTAGCTTGTTTTTTATACACCATTTTGAGATTTCTTCCATACCGGATGAAAGACATGAATCTATAGTAAATATATTTTTTCCAGGAACATATATGACTGTGTCGTCAACATAAATAATAGATTTTGTATGTTTCAAATATAGTTACCATAGATACCAGGTCATTAAAGTAAATAACAAAAAGTAAATATTGATCCTTGAGGTACACCACATACAACTTTTCCTTTTTCAAATAGTGTTTTGAAAACAAATTGTTTGAGATCTGTTAAATAGCTAATCTTTAAACCAGCAGCAGTACCATGAACATATAACTGTTATGCTCATTGATAAATACTCCTTGACTTTTGTGCCAAATGCACAAGTCAAGAAATACTGCCTTAACTAATTTACCTTTGTCAACATTTCATTTTATGTTATCTACAAACAGCGTTACAGCTAGTTTTTTTGATTGTTTACACTGAAAACCAAACTGATTGTCATTTATCAAACTAGTTTCCTCTAAATAATTTGATTATTGGATGTGTCTCGATAAAAATTTCCATGAACATTATTGTGATTATGTATTTCGGGAAACAAAATACATGATCACAATAATGTTTGATATTATTTTCGATATTATTAATAATATTAAAAAATAATAATTTTTGTTGGTATTAAAGATATAGATTGGTAGTTTTGACTTTGATTTATAAATTTGAAGAATTCTTGAGAATTTCCAATCAGATGGATAGGTTGATGTCTTCAAAGACATGTTTACTGTGGTTTAGACAAGACGTCCGTCTAGGCCAGTAGACTTTTTTGTTTTCTGAAGTTAATGAGTATTATAATACTTAATTTTGATCAACGCTTAAATATAATAGTACTTTTATAAAAAGTCAAAGCATGTCAAAATTACGTTTAAAGAAGAATTTAAAGCGAAAGCTCAATTGAAAATTATCCAAAAGTTTTTGTGTTATACATTAGAAATTCATTATCATACAAAAATGAAATGCTTATATAATAAAAATTCAATGATTCAAAACTGCTATGCTGTGTTATCTACTAGTTTCAGTTGAAAACATAATATCATTAACCTTTAATGATCATCTAAATAAATCCATAGCAAGATGACTTCAGAAAAATGAATCCAGTGATTTGAAACATAGTCAGACGCTAAAGATTTTCTTCTGAAAAAACTGATAAATGTTGATTAAACCCACATTACCCCATAGATTACACACACCTACACATTACACTACCCTACCCTATATAATAATAAAATTTAATACCTCCAGTTTCTTTGGCTAAATGATGAATTTTCTCTAAAGAAGTAGATAAATAGTTGAGCAGCATTGGTGAAATCTGGTTGTTGCGATCGCGTGAAAAAACAACTATCAATGCAACCTTCAAGTAGTGCACATAAAATAATATTACTAAGACTGAAATTCTAAATAATAATAATTACCAAATAAAGTATATAAATAATAAATGTACACGCTTTACATTTAATCTAAAAGGTCCTCAACTTAAAAAACTTATTTATATCTAAAAAAAAAAAAAAAAAAATTTTAAACATTAAAAAAAAAAAAAAAAAAACATGCAAAAACGACTTTTATAAAAGATTAGATAGATTTAAAGATCTTCTAAAATTTTTAAAAAGAGACTTACATAAATAGCAAAATCGGTTTTTTGCATATTTATAAGATGAACATCACCGAGATGCAAATCTACAATACAAAACAATAATAGCAAAATGAGTACAAAATAAAATCAAACAAAATACAAATATGCTACAAAGTTATTTACCTTTCATTTTAAAAGCCAGTTCATATTGCTCTTTTGGTTGTTTTGAGTGCTTATTAATAGCAGAAAATAAACCACCATGTCCCCAGTAACCAGAATCATCTAATAAAAACAGTTTTTATATAATTATTTATACTACTACTACTACTACTACTACTACTACTACTACTACTACTACTACTACTACTACTACTACTACTACTACTACTACTACTACTACTACTACTACTACTACTACTACTACTACTACTACTACTACTACTATTACCACCTATTTACTCTTTTTAAATTGCTGCTGCATTTTTAATATGTTTAATAATTAAAACTAAAAACTAAAAAAAAACAGATCCTGCTTTATGTGCAAAACTGAACTTAGTCTATCTTAAAAAAAAAAAAAAGTAAACATGTTTGAACTTTATAAAGTGTATATTTGAACAGTTTTTTCTTTATCAACAGTTTTTAAATTCTCTGTAAAATGAAAATTAAAGCATTGAAAAAGTTATCTTGTTAACATATTAATATAAAGTTTTAGGATAAAGGTTATCATTGCAATTCTTAAAGTTAATGTTAAGTCTGTTCATGACTTTTCATGTATATAAGTCATGACTGTTTGCATTTAATAAATGAACTTATGGTAAAACTCTAAATTTTTACCTTAAACTCATATGAGTTTGAGGCAAAAACTTAGAGTTTTAACCATAAGTTCATTTATAGCTTTATAAGCTAAAGTATAGATTTTTTCTGGTCTGGGCATTTACCCTGAAATATGAAATGAGGTCTTGTCAGCAGTTAATTAAATTGTGGGCAAGGATAAAAGGAGTTTAACTTTAAATTATAAGGAGATTTTTGTTGTAGTACTACCACCAAAAACTTTTTAAAAGTTTTTGGTGGTAGTACTACAACAAAAATAACCAGTCCTGATATGCAAAACAGGAGCAAAATAGTTATGTGACAATCAATTAAAGCATCTTTAAAAAGATTTCATATTATTACTTAAAGCAACTTTGATTCATAATAAGCATTCATTAGTATCGCAGGATTAGATTTGATTCATAATATTGTTATATTTACTTTAACTGCTTAAATAAGGGCTGATAAAACCAGAATTTTCTAGTTGAAGGTTTTTTCCGATATAAAATACCAGTACATACATAAAGCAAGACACATAAAACCTTTTAATTTTACTGATTGAAAGTTTTGCAAGTCTTACAGGTAAACTATCAACATTACATATTAATAACATTCTCTGTTTCTTCCATTATTAGTACAGAAAGAAACAAGCTCATCATAAGAAACCTGCACCTCAGTCAATAATAATGGGACTTAAACATAATAATAATACTAAAAAACATTATATAAAATAGTGTGAATAATTAAATAAATATTTATAGTATAATCATTATTTTACCAACACAATGGACAATAATAGCATCTCTTTGATTAACTTGTCGAGGATTAGTGACATCACCAACTACATAGTTAATGTGACTAACTTGTTCTTCATCATCACTTTCTACTTCAAAAGATGGATTTTCATTATCTAAACAACTTGGAAGTTCAAGCTTGCATGAATTGTATTTATGAGTTTCCCATAACTTTAAACTGAAAATAACAAAATTACTGAAAATTATAAAATTACCACAATTATTTGCTTTATTTTTGAAATTAGGAACTTAATGAAATCAACTTTGTCATACATTTTTTCTTTTGCCTTTTCTTCAAGCATTTTTATTCGTTTAGCCTTGTTTTCTTCTCTCTGAAATAATTATAGAAAAAAATTTATATAATATTTTGAAAAATAACCCATATCTATTAAAATATCCGTAAACATTGATTTTTTTAATGTAAATCATAATAAACCAAAATATTTCAGAAATTAGGTTTAGAAATTAAAATCCAGTTGTTGTGGTAATTCTCCTTTTTGTGTTTACACTTTTGCTATTATATAAATAAAGAACAACATGTTTAAAAAATAAATCTTTCTACTTCAAAGCTGATTTTTATCTTTCTCAAGGCCTTTATCTCTCTTATTTTGCTAATAATTAGATTTTGCTCTGCTTATCCAATATCCAGAAATAGGAAGTTAGAATAGGTAGATGGAAACATATAAAGCTTAGAGGGTAAGCTCTATCTAACCTATTCAACTTGACTACACTTTATTAGTGCAGTGGCTAAATTGAGCTTTAGTTTATAAGAAAATATTCAAACATTAGACTCCATGTTATCCATATAACGTGAAACATAATGTTTTAACATTAATAAATGAAAACTTGCTTTACTGGCAAAATTTCATATTTGAATAAGAAAAGAGCACCATGGAAACAAACCAGACAAGTGTGTGTCCAAACCAGACAAGTGCGGAACTATAGGCATTAAACATAAAAGTAAAAAAAAAATGAGTGCTGAAGAAATTATTTCAAATTAAAAATGATTTCAAGATTATAATAAATAGCGGAAGTTATATTTCCCCTTCTCCCAATATATAGACACACCTGTTTAAATATATTGAGGAAAGAGAGAGCAGTACTATTAGCCTGATAAATTTTATGCAAACCATTTAAAATTTTATTTATTTTTATTGCAGTTTTGAAGTTTTATTTTATGACACATTTCAGATGTGAAAATCAGAGTATTAGCTTTTGAGGAAATTTTTAAATGTTAACATGTTACTTCTCGAAACCCTCGAGATAGTTAACATGTGCATTTGTGCAAGTTGGATTACTTTTAGGGTTGTGTAACTATTCTATGTAGTTGTAATAACTTTGCATAATTACATAATTACAACTATATAAAAAACACTTGATATATAGACAAACAAAAAAGAAAAAGAAAAGTTGTTGACCATAAATTCATCATCCAACTGTGTCTAATTATAAAGTTGATTTTCTTACTATTTAAAACTGTGAAAAAAAATAACACATTTTAAAAAGTATAAAAAGAAAGTATCAAATTCGGATTAGATAAGACTTATTTTGTAAAGATGAAAAATGACTAGTGGTAGATTTTTTGGCTCACAATCAAAATGAGGTTTAAATTCTCTCTATGCTTCTTCAATTTGAAAATACTGCCCTCAATTTGAAAACTCATTCTGAAAACTCTTCACAGCTAATAATGAACTTTCTCAAAGTGCAATCATCAGCAATATAATGCAGAGTTAAAGTAATAAATTAATCTACTGCTCTAGATGTCCAGCAGTTAGAGGTGAATCCTACACCATATACACTTCCTCATTTGTCAATTTTTTATCTAATGCTGCCTTCATATTTCAATATATAATATGTAACTTGTACTTAGAAAATATTATCCTACTTTTAGTAGCATGGGGATCAAAACTACGAACAAAATCTTTAAAACCTTGAGATTCAACTATAATGAAAGGCAGAGATTTGCCTAAAAAGAAATTTTGTGATATTAAGATCTATAACCAGCTGTTTTTGTTCCTGACATTTATACCTATATTATAAACTATTTTGTTAAAAAAACTATTTGTAAAACTATATTGTGAAAGAAACTGTTTTGTGACTTAAATACTGTTGTATTATTTTGTTTGTCTATATTTTTTGAGCTGCGACTACTTGAGTGAGCTGAAACTTCTTGCATAACTCTTTTTTTTTTGTTGCTGCTGGAACTAGTATCGATCCTTGGATATACTCATCAGAAATTAAAAAACAACTTTTTAATTGAACTGTTAAAATAAAATCAGTAAAAAATTTTTTGTTATAGGTTACTTAGTGTCTCTGTAGAGTTATTTTCCACCATTTTGATCATCTGAATTTCTCAATTCTTTTTCAACTAACAATTTATAAAAAGATAAATGATTTATTTTCAAGTGGTGTCAAACTGGATGTTGAACCCTTGGCAAATTATAAACTTTTCAGCACTTTTTGTAAATTCTGTAGGCAACTACTTTTTTGGTTTTTATTCAAAATAATCCAAAATTAACAGAACATGTTATTGGCATTTTACATGCAATAAAGAAGCTAATATATACAAAAAAATGTATTAAACACATTTACAATACAGATAATATGCTTAACTTATTATAATAAAATAAGGACATTTAGAAAAGGAAATAAATTAAAAAAAAAAAAGTCAACTAACTGAATTTATCAGTAAGAAACCCTTTTTTTTTTTTAATAAAAAAACTTATTTAAATTCAAATTATATATTTTAAACTCAACTTGTAAGCTTAACAAATGTACAAAACTTTTTTTTTAACTGTTTTAAATTAAAGCTGTAAAATAATATATTTTTCTTAATTTATATTAATTATAAACTCAAACTTTTTTTTTTTTTGTATAAAATTATATAAAATTTTTGCTAAAATTTTTAAAACTTATTTTGTTTAAAATTTTTAAAACTTAGTTTGATAATTGAACTGCATGTTTCCAAAATTTTTTTTTGCTCTTTGTCTTTTTTTTTTTTTTTTTTAAACATCTTCACTTCCAACAAGGCTGCAAGCAACCACTAATTAGTGTTAGAAGTTACTGGAAGAGAAAGGATGAAGATTTTAGAGCAAGATAACAATTGACAGACGACTTAAAAGATTGCAAATTATATGAATCAGGAAAACAAGATGAAGGAAGCAAATTCCAAATAACTGATGTTCGAGGAAAAAAACTAGATGAGTAAGAGTTTTTGGAGCACTTAGGAACAGTAACAGAAAAAGGATGAGACTTAATTGAATGACGAGTAACACGAGAATGAATTTTAGTAGATGGCACAAGAGACGCTAGCTCTTTAGAGCAGTGCCCATTATAGTATTTGTAGAAAAAGAGAAAGAGAAGCAACATTACGACGATGTGACAGAGGTTGAAGGTTGGCTGCAAGAGCAGGTCAAACTATGTTTACAATGCGTTTTTGCATCTTGTCTAAAAGAGAAAGGGCATCATTAGAAGATCTGCCCCAGATATGGCAACAGTATTCCATACAAGGCCGGATTTGAGATTTATAGAGATAGAGAATAGAATCCAGAGTAAGAAAGTGACGAGCTCGATAAAGAGAAGCAACTTTAGCAGATGCTAATTTTGCAACGGATTTGATACAAGGTTTCCAAGAAAGATCAGAAGTAAGAGTTAATCCTAGAAGATGAAGGGTAGGAGACTCATCGAGTACATTACGTTCATAAATATAGGAAGATCTAAATTATTGTGATAACGATTGGCTGAAAAAAATTGAGTTTTATCTGAATTAAAGTTCACCAGCCACTGTGAGCCCCATGCTGTAGCAGAAGTGAGATCCTTTTCAAGCTCAGATGTCCCCTGCAAGCAATCAGAGGGAGTTGGCTTCTTATCGTGATAAAAATAAATGGTAGTATCATCAGCGAACAATGTCACCTTAGATGTGAGAATATCTGGAAGATCGTTAATGTAAATTAAAAAGAGTATAGGGTCAAAGATTGAACCTTGAGGAACCCCTGAGGTTACAGAATAAGAAGTGAGATTACAGAATAAGGAGTGCTGTCCATCAAGGACAACTTTTATACTACGATTTGAAAGGAAGGATTCAATAATCTTAAAGATGTTTCCAGATACACCATAAGAAGAATGCTTATGGAGAAGCCAGCATGCCAAACTTTATCAAACGCTTTAGAAATGTCAAGAGCGATGGCCTTAACCTCTCCACCTTTATCTAATGCGCGATAAAACCTATCAGCTATTACTGACAGCAAATCAGCCGTAGAACGAGAAGATCAAAATCCATATTGATGATCAGAAAGTAGGTTACAAGATTCGAGATGAGAGATTAAGTGTTTGTTAATTAAAGATTCAAAAACCTTGCTTATGATAGGAAGAAGACTAATGGGACGGTAATTAGACGAATCGGATCGCTCTTCAGAATTTCCAGCTTCCAGCTTTCCAGCAGGTTGGAAAACAAGACTCTGATAAGCACTTGTTAAATAGTTTTGAAAGGATAGACGACAGCTTCGGAGAACACTTCTGCAAAACTATAACGGGTATGTTGTCTGGGCTGCAAGCTGTAGAAGAGTCTAAGCAGGAAATCACTTTAGATACAGAAGCTGGAGTGATACGGATGTCGAGCAGTGGATCAACCTGTTTGACGGCTATATCAGGTAGAACGCAACTTGTGGAATCAAGAGATGATATTGATGAAAAGTTCTTGGCAAACAACTCAGCTTTGTCTTTAGGTGAGGTGGCAAAGTCTGAACCATACAAAAGAGGTGGAATTACAGACTTGCCCTTATTATTGATACTATTAAAGATTCTCCAGAAATCACGAGAGCCTAATTTTTGTGATGAAATACGAGATTTCATGACCTGAGAATAGCGGGCTTTGGCATTAGACAAAACCTTTTTACAATGGTTCCTAGCAGTAATAAACAGACGTCTATTTTCTGGAGAATTGTTTTGCTGATAGATATGGAAGTAATGGTTTCGATTGGCAATTTGACTGAAATTCGATTGAAAGTTGACTATTTGAGTTAGGGATTGAGAAAGGCAAAAGTTGTAGGCCTTAATGCCTGCAGAGTCACTGACACTAGAGCCAAGCCATTCAGTGTGATGAACATTAAAGTCACTGACAATAACAATATTGGCTGATGGATAAAGAATGAGGGCTTGGTCAATATAATCAGAAATAACATCAAGAAAAGTGCAGTCTTTAGATGAAGGAGAGCGATATAGAACAAAGAGAAAGGTGATAGAGTGAAGTGGTGCTAAATGAAAGCACATAAAAGAGTAGTCTGTGGGTTCAAACCTAGTTTCCCGACAAATGGGTGAATTCTTACGAATGTAA